AAAATTGTTGAATATACGGCAAGTTGCCAGCAGTCATAAGCACTCACAGATTTGTGCGATTTTGCTGAGACACGCTTGATTATATGATTTTGATATTATCCGCAAGACATAATTTAATTTAATATTTAATATTTGTTGATTTTTATATCTGTCGAACAAAAAAATGTTTTGCTTTCCTAAAATATTATATTCGTTTTGCTTTTCCCAAAACAAGTATCAATTTCTTATTTATGTTTAGAAATTTACGTTTAATAAAGATAAAGTTGAGCTTGCGATTTTACGTAAAATATTTAGATAAATTTTTTTTATAGCATGTCAAGTTGCCTTAAATTAAAAGTGTAATAACGTAATAAATCTCATCGTTGCAGATGGTAGATGCGGAGAGAGTTATAATATAGATTATAGATTATACTATAAATTGATAATAATTTTATTCAGAATAGGAATCAAGAGTCATTTGTCAAGTTTGTATATATTATTGAGAAACAATTTATTTATTATAAATAAATAATCATTCAAAAGAAAGATATGTTAGCTGTATAAAAATCTTAAATTACCATTACCATTTACATATGTACGTATGTCTGAGGATAAAATGTCAGCATAATATTGATATATAACTTTGATTTCTTTGTGACTCATTTACTTGTGACGTATTTGTCTTGTAACTCTGAGCAAAATTGCTGCTTCCGCAGTCTCCTCTCAATGTCCCCTTCCTTCCTTTCTGTTTTAGTAAGTTTAATTTTACTATAATACAAAACCATTTTTTTTTTAATATAGCAAGCTAAAGTGTAATATATTTTAAGTGTACATATATTTTAATTATGATTTTAATTAGGAAAAGCACAAAATATAGAAATATGTATAAATTATTCATGTCAGAGAAATCGAAATTGAATTTCCGATAAGTTGAGCATGGAGGTCTTTATTTCGAGCCACTCACACATCGCAGTAAAAGATGCGGCACACTAATTATTCAAGACTCGTTCGAGCGAGCTGTCGTATACAAATTATAAGATGTTACTCAAGATAATAATTAAAGAACAAGCAAGGCAATAAAAACAGATAGAAACTAAAGAGATTTGAATAAATTTCAATAATTATCATTTTAAATATAAATAATAAAAAATTGCAAAAAGATCAACATTTATCAAGCGACGCAGTAACGGCGCGCCAAGTATAATACATAAAAGTTGGGTGATGATTATTATATTTGAAATAATAAAACAATATATAACTGATTTGATTATTATTCATACATGTACATATATATATATATATATATATATATATATATATATATACACATCACAAATACTAGAATGTAATAATTCAAGATTAGAGATATTTTAGTTAAGGATTATTTAGTTGAAGGATGTGAAAAATTTGAGATAAAAAATGTTTTTCTGAAATGAGATAAGTACATTAAGATATTTTTTCTTTTTCTTTTTTTTGTGTGTTGTCCTTTGTTCGTTCACTTTTCTATTGTATTTTATTAAAAAGCTTTTTATACTAATAAAGCGAAATGTTAAACATGTATGGCAAAAAATTTTGTAATATCTTACAAAATTTTTATTATTTATCAAGAGAAAATCGACACTGATTCATAATAAAAATTGAGAGCAACGTTAATTGACGATGTCCGCGTGTGCCAGTCACGAAACTAATTCGAATATTGTGGCACTTAAATATCGGTGATTTCTTCAAACTATTGTCTGAGTATTATAAAAATTGTAATTCCACGTAGGCATTACAGCATTGGTAATTTTACAATTAGTGCTGTAGAAATATAATATAAATAGAATATAAACAGAACGGTATCTATCGGAACGCTTTTGAGAATCGATACGTCCGATGGTTTTGAGCTGTTGATTGTGCCAGTATTCGCTCCGACTGGAGCAATGGGAGTCGTAGGACGGGATCAATTTGCACGCACGTGATTTAGGTCTAATCCACTTTATTTGATCTGATATTCGGATCAGCCGCACTCGAGATAGGCGCTCTTGACTAGGGACTCTTGTGTCACAAAACCTTCGCGGTCACAAGCGACAAGAGAGTGGCGAAATGCTTGTATCGCGACACGAAGAGGTGAAGACGGAGTCGAAGCACGTGCGGCGAAGATGGATCCCTGATTAGTTCTGAACATGTTAATTTTCGCGTTGCCGTTTCCGGCTTCTTCTTCTCGAATCTAACGCACTGCGCCGGCGCGAGCGATTAAAGCTAATCAATTGGTTTGGTCGTGACGCGTGCCATTGATTTATTGGCGGATTCGATGCGCGAAGGATCCTTTCTCCCCGTTTCGCGCCGATGCGTCGGATTTCCTCGACTCGTTCCGTCAGGTGGTGCCGTTCGGCGGAGCACGAAGGCTCCGAGGGCATTCGTCGTGTGACGGGGCCTGTGGCCCAATCGAAGCATGTCAATGCTCCAACAGTATTCAAATATAAATAATATTCGGACAACAATTTGAAGCAATTATTGATATAATGGTGCTGTAATGAATGCATAATTTTTAATTGGACAACTGAAGTTTGAAAAAATCCTTAATATGATAGTGCACTGTCCAGACAATTAGTTCCATTACTGTATCTATAATGCTGTTCACAACAAGAATATACCCAAGTTCAATGAAATTCATCTGTTTCGCGAATGTGCCTTCTACAAAACACTTGGAGAACGTCCCTTTCCATTACTCGTTTTGGCCCGTATAGCTTGTTTATGTCGCCAGCAAAATATCAAATCCTTACTGATTACAGTTATAGGTATTAAGAAAATTATCCAATTGCATTTTACATTTGTTTTTATAATAGAAATGCGATTAGATAATTTTTTTATGCATACGATTATGCAGTTATACAATCTGGATAAGATCCTAAGCGCGAACCCGAGCGTGTCGGGTTCAACGTATACGGTATTAACAAGGGAACCTTGCAAAGTGTCAAATTCTGATTTTAATGAAACTTGATACACTTTGAGGTCACATAAATAGATGAATTTAGAAATTATCAGTTGGTGCTAAAAAAAAACGGTTTAAAGGGATGAAATCATTCCTTATATGTAAATTAATTTTTTTTTCATTATATCTCGAAAACTATTCAAAATATCAAAAAATGTTTTATACAAAAGTTTTATAGTAAAATTACCTCTATTCATTTACGTTAATAGAATTTTTTTAAAATAATTAGTTTCAAAAATTTTCAAAAATTTTTAGAATATAATTATTCTAAAAAAATATTATTAACGTAAATAAATAGAGATAATTTTACTGTTAAACTTTTATATACAATATTTTTTTATATCTTAAATAGTTTTCGAGATATAACGAAAAAAATAAATATTGTTCACCTTTAAAGGATAATTTCAAAATTTTTATTACGTTTTTCCATCGGAACTGATATTTTGTAAATTCATCTTTTGTTTGCGTAACCTATGTGCACAAAATTTCATTAAAATCACAACTTGACACTTTTGTTATTAAACTATTTGTATATTCACACATATCGATCGAAAAATGTTTTTTTTTTCATGATAAAACATAATCATTTCCACACCACCTTGCGGTATATAGCACGGTTTGTTTATAATGTTTATATGGTTTCTCCAATAGACCTAATCCATTCTCATTTTTTAATATGAGTTATTCAAAATGCTGTCCTCCCTTTTGAATAGATTTTAGGATATTAATATTTAAATTAACATTTTTATCTTGAATAATTTTTGAGACATAATATTTAAAATATTTTTATTTTAAATATGATGTGTTATTTTTTAAATATAATGTCTATAAAATAATGTTTTAATATCTATTTTTCTTTTTACACACTCTCTAGTTCGATAAAAAATTTTTTCTCAAAAAGTTTAAGATTTTCACAAAAAATACTTAATTTTACCTGCTGTTGCAATAATAGTAAAAGAAAAACTAAAATAATATTATACTCTTTTTGCTTAAGTTTTTCGTTTGAATCCCACCGCGTATCGGTATCTTATTGACATAACATATTAGTAATAATAATTAGTACGTGGCGCTCGTGTATTCTCTTTAGTTTTTTCGTCTTTTTCTTTCTTCTTCTATTCGAGCCCTCCTTGTAGAAGTCTTCTGTTGACGCACAAGAATAAATCCTTATATATCAGGAATCCGTCAAATATTTGCTGCCTACCCTATCTAAATTAACACCTACAAAATATTTTTTAAAAAATTTTCCTATAATTTTTTTTTACTAAACTACTCACTTTGAAGCTAAACCTGCATTTCTTATAACCACCGTTGAAATTTAGTGGTTACCGATTACACATAGGTGTGTGTGTACGTGTGTGTGTGAGATCGGAAGAGCAC